TTGTCTCTCTACTTACTAGCTGTTGTGTGGCGAGCAGAACGAGTTGGAACTGGGTTACAAAGGTAGAGGGGATAAGAGTGGGTTTCTAATAAATATTTGATCCATGAACAAACAGAGTTAGTTCAATGCTGAAGATATGTCTAATATAACCATTCACATGGCTATTTGAGGTAGAAGTGAATTCACAACACAGGGGCACAGTCTGCGGGGTTCAATATGCTGTGTTATGAATACCACACCCTAACAAAAGACCAAGATTTTCCTAAGGGAAAACAAAAGATGGAAGTGTTCAAAGCTGCATGTGAATTCTGGGAAAATACATTATTTGAAAAGGGTAAGCAATTTTGATGGATCCATATAACATTTGCTCATTCACATTATATGATATCAAAGTTCCAAAATGACAGAGAGTCAAATCCTTTTTTCGTCTGCTTTGTTTTTGGTACATTCTGATTCACCTAAAGCTATTGGGTCCTGGTGCAAGCCATTAGGTACACAATATTAAATTGGCCTTCATTGGAAATTTTTCCTAATTTTATTGTGCTGAACACTCAAAAATTTCCAGGATCAAGTACTTCAGAAATTGCCCCTCATCCTGAACTTCCAAGAAGGTAATTCTAGGAGAGGATAGGAGTGGAAGAGGCACGGTATCATTTATTCAGATAAGTATAGTGTAGACACCTATTTTTTAATGTAAAAGCAATGATGTTGCTATTTTAACCATCTCCCTACTCCCTCCCATAATATTTTTTCATTATTCTAACCTATGGAGCAGAACGTTTTCCACAAAATATTATTAAAGAGGGTGGCTCATAAATATTCATCCCAGAGGCACCACCTGGATTTATTGTGACATTAAAGATGCAATTATTAAAATGTGTGCTTGAGATTCTGTTCAATGCCAAGCATTAAAGAAGTGTTGTAGAAAAGTGTGGCCTTCTGTTAGATTTGCACAAGTGATGATGAAGCAGAAACTATTTAGGGTTTTGAATGAGGCATCCCTAACATAACCTCAACAATAAAATAATAGGTGTATTCCCTATTCACTCTCCATAATCTCTTAATGTTGATGGGTCCACACTGTTAATTGCCTGATGGTCACTGTGATCACTGCAATGTTTTAAATGTATGCTAACAATAAGTATTCAGAAAAACGTTTTTTCTTGGAATTGAAAAGACACTTTGCAAAAAAGCTTATTTTAGGTTTCATTTCGGTTTTCAAAGGCATTTCCTGCCCAAGAGGCTACACAGATAGTTGCAAATCCTTTATTTCACTTCATGGAAAATAACTTAGTCATTTGATAGCTATGACTACCTGTTCTTTGAAAAGCAACTGAACAAAACCTGAAAAGAAATTAGTCAGTACTGGTGGAAAAGTCTTATGCTTAAATAGCCTTTAAAGAATAAATGGATAAATGAAAAAGGGCAGATTATTTCTTGCACGGGAGAATGAGAAAACTTTTGGGAGATGGCATTTTTGAAGGTTGCTTTTCAAGACTTAATAGAACATCATTATGTAATGTGGCTAGAAAAGATGTGTACTATGTGTGTGTGAACAAAGAATAGTGATATGTTTATATTGACTAAAATGAGTAGGCACGTTGGGCGCAGAAAATAAATGCTGTTGTCACTAATTTCAACATTATTCTTTAGGTAGTAGACAGGAATTCTGCATTTACAGGCAGAATGGTAATATGATTACAGCTGTCATTTGGGAAGATTAATCTCTGTGTAAAAGGGATTTGGAGGGCAAAGGAACTGAATAGTTAAAATTCTTAACACTGAGTTACAAGAAAGGAGAGGAAAGTTTTCAAGACAGGGCAGAATTTGTAAGTTTTATCAACAGATTGGGTGCTAGAGGAAATGAGATGGAGCAGAAAAAAATGGCCCCAAGGTTAGGACTGGTTATGGACTATTAAAATATGTGGGGAGAACAGATGGAGAAAGGGCCTCTATTTTTTAAAAAATTGCATACAATATGCACATGGCTGCCTATTTAACTACTGACAGTATGAAAGGAAGAGTCAGAGCTTCCAGAAAGAAAGGTAATGGCTAGAATTGTAGATTTGAGAATTACATGCAAAGAATTAGAAATCAAAGGCATGTAATCAAAAGAAACAGCTAAAGGAAACAGAAGATTCTCCAAATAAAGATGGTGAAAGATATTTCTTTCCCTTTTTGAATTGCCTTCCAGGAAGCTCATTGCTAAATTTGAAACTCGGTTGCAGAATGGTTTCTTAGTTTAAGTTTTCTGATAAAATGATTCTCTTGTCTCCTATCTTTAAAACTTCCTTTCCTCTTTAAGGCTTAGGGTTGAGGAGTTTGTATACTACTTTTGGAATCCTACAAATTTCATGGGTTCTAAGATGTATGTATTTTTCTCATTTTAACATCTCTGAAATCAGGATGTCCCTTGCAAGTCACTGGAGGGTGTATCATAGTTTAATTGACAGTGTGTTTTCATTCTGTGTGGTATATAAAATAATGGTATATGCTATAATCAATAATGCCTTCGGTTTGATGAAAGATGGTACTTTCTGATATGTTTCCCTATCTTGGCAACTTGGCTTTTTTTTTTTTTTTTTTCCATTAAGTCTTTTATTCCCCCAAAAGGTGAAGAGCAACCTACATAGGAAAAGAGTACTGTATGGGTCGTCTTCCATCAGCCAGGAATGGGCAGTTTGAATATCTTTTCTAGGCTGAAAGAAAGAATAAAGGTAAGAATTGAGACTCAAGTGCCCTGGCTCCCAAAATGGAACAAAAAGTTCTGATGGTGGGAGAAGCAAGATGTAGTAGAAACCCAGATAGTCGTGCGGCCAGTATAATGCTTGCTTGAGACTTGCTTTTTGGAGCATTGCTCTGGAACATTTTAAGCCTCCTGGATTTAGAAGCATCTATGGTATTGGAACTACATGGCCCTAGTAGCTGACAAATGACTAAAGGAGGTGTTTTGATGGATGGGCCTGAGATAGCACCTCTGGTTCCTGTACAGCCCCCAAAGACCCAGAAGTTCTGCATATCCCAGAAGAATGCAGGAATAAACTGATCCCAGAATGAGGACTCGGCTAAGCAGGGACTTTGAACCGCTGGGGTGGAAGGGTCCATTTTGCCAAGCTTCAGTAGAGTACAGTTAGGACCTGTCTAACAATGGGGAAAACAGATGCTCCTATCAATTGCCAGGTGGACGTATGGGCTTCCCTCACACCCAGATTATGTCTGGGGAAAAAAGTAAGATCTCTTGAATGGGGAGGGACCTCTAACAGGGGATTTGATTGTCAAGTAATTAAACATGTCCCTGAAAAGCAGAGGTTGCAATCCTAGTCTCTGATAAAATAGACTTTAAACCAACAAAGATCAAAAGAGACAAAGAAGGGCACTACATAATGGTAAAAGGATCAATGCAACAAGAAGCGCTAATGATCCTAAATATATAAGCACCCAATACAGGAGCACCCAGATACATAAAGCAAGTTCTTAACGACCTACAAAGAGACTTAGACTCCCACACAGTAATAGTGGGAGACTTTAATACTCCACTGTCAATATTAGATGAATGAGACAGAAAATTAACAAGGATATCCAGGACCTGAACTCAGATCTGGACCAAGCAAACCTAATAGACATTTACAGAACTCTCCACCCCAAATCCACTGAATATACATTCTTCCTCAGCACCAGTAGGTGTGAACCTACTCTAAAATTGACCACATAATTGGAAGTAAATCACTCCTCAGCAAATGCAAAAGAACGGAAATCATAACAGTCTCTCAGACCACAGTGCAATCAAATTAGAACTCAGGATTAAGAAACTAAGTCAGAAACGCACAACTTCATGGAAACTGAACAACTGGCTCTTGAATGTTGACTGGATAAACAATGAATGAAGGCAGAAATAAAGATGTTCTTCAAAACCAATGAGAACAAAGACACAACGTACAGATCTCTGGGACATATTTAAAGCAGGGTCTAGAGGAAAATTTATAGCAATAAATGCCCACATGAGAAGCAAGGAAAGATCTAAAATCGATATCCTATCATCAAAATTGAGAGAGCTAAAAGAGCAAGATCAAAATATCTCAAAAGCTAGCAGAAGACAAGAAATAACTAAAATCAGAGCAGAACTGAAGGAGATAGAGACACAAAAAACCCTTCAAAAAATAAATAAATCCAGGCACTGTTTTTTTTTTTTTTTTTTTTTTTTTTTTAAAAAAATTAAAAAAAAAAAAAAACTGGAAGAGACTGAGTTACTCTAACTGGCAATTAATTTTTCTTCATAATAAGGGAGAATGCAGGGTTTGTGTGCAATACAAACTTATGATAACAGGTAACACATCTTTTTGTTGCACATTTGAGTTGTGTGTACATTTTAATCTTACCACAATGGATTAATGGTAAGATGTCTCAAATACTAAAATTAATCTGGATTAAAGAAAAAAAAAGTGGTTCAATGTATAACACTGGAAAATACGAATACTTATGGTGGTCTAGGAAGATGAAACGGCAGAGAAAAAATAAGAAAAATGGAAAAACTAGTAGTGTCTCTCCAAAGCAGAAACAAAGAGGAGGCAAGTGATGAATTCAGTCAAGTGTTACAGAATGGTGAGCATAGCTGAACTCTTGGATGTGATTTGAGTTGATGATGAGAAACCATTCAGAATTTTTAAAAATTGGCAATCCAAATGTGGTGATATTTTATTAACCATAATTTTTCATGAGATATTAGTGCCAAAAGATATGTAGTCTAACTCCACTGTTTTACAGATAAGAAAACTAAGAACCAGAGAAATTTTACAGAATTCAGTTCAAATCATTAATAGGAGAAAAACAAGTATATTATATCTGAAGTCAACTAGATTCGACATGTTTTTTATCATTTGAGTGAAAAACATGTTGGGGGTATTAATAAGCACCCTTTGAAAATAATGATGGGATCATGTATATGAAAAAGACAAAACATTTGCTACAATGCGTCTTGGGAGCAAATACTCTGACTAGTGTTATGTGTGTTTTAATATTTTATTAGAGAAGTTGGAAGTTTAATTTCAGTATCGATGGTATCATCATTTTCTCCACTTTGTTCAGAGGAACACACAGAATCGATTTGTACAAGCATATACAACAGTTCATTTGGTGCTGTGCCCTAAAATCAGTAATCTGATTAGTTCTAGACTACCGGGTTCCATGCGCTCCTCTTGGCTTTGGTGGCATGGCTCAATTCCCAGCGGAATACTTTTTCATGCACTGTCTGCAACTCAACTACAGCAGGCTTAAAGACCATGCAGATTAACACTGTAGCAAATTGTTTTGATATTTAACAGACATAAAAAGGTCATTTCCTGATATGAAATTCTGAAAATCTGCATAAATATTTTTGTGTAAAATTAAATTAGTTATGTATTTTTTTTTCAAACTAGAACTTGAAGTATCAAGAATGCCCACATAATTCATATACACATATATATATAGATTTTTTCATTATGCTAAGGTCTTGATAGTCAAATTATATTCTGTGCCATACATTTATTTAACCAGTATTTATTTGGCATCAGGCTAACTGTGTCTGTATGGATTAGACATTACTGGTGCTTGTGTATCATGCAAACATAGTTCTAGTATTCCTGTTTACTAATCTTGTCATGTGGCAATACTTAGATGATTTTGCTCCCTAATGGTGTGAATTAAAGAGTATAAATACTTTATACATGGTCACATTTACAAATGTTTGCCAATAACCACTTCATAATCTTTATGGTGTGAATTGTAATAACTGGAATTTGCAGAAGCAATTCCTATAAAGCAATGTCAGATGTAAACTTTCTTAAATGTGCCTAACAAGAGTTCTTCTCTGAGTAATGATGAGCTTTGGCACACGTACACTGCTTTGTTTTTCTATTGTTCTAATAATTTCCATAACTTTTACAGGAAAATAGCCTCTTATGGCATGATAGAGACATGGCACTTACTGATGAGGTAACTTAGATGTAGAAAAATTTTGCAAAATTATTTGTCTAGCAGACCACCACTTCTGCTAATAAATTTGTAGACAGGGTTTTCCTTTCCTAGTGCATGCACTTGCTATGAAATTGCTAATGCACTGATTTTTGTTATTGTTTTTTGTTGCAGCTCAAACATGTCCTAAGGCATCACAAAGCAGAGTTGTTAACACCAAGCTCTTTTACTTGTGATGGTATTTTATAGCACACATGTTTAAGTTGTATTATCAATGGTTAAACTCTGCCTTACTGAAATAGTAAATTTTTGTGGATTTGTAGCTACTTTTGCTTGGCCAAGGAAATGCAATACTCAAGCTGTTAAACAGAAGTCAGTCAGACATTCCAAGTCTCTGTGGTTTCAGATATCATCTTGTTTACACATAAAGGAAACAAACAAACAAAAAAAAAACAGCTTTCATCCATGGAGTTTGTGTTCAGAAGTTTGTGAGTGAATCTTTTGATGCTTTTGGGTTTGCTGCTTCAGTTTGCATTTTGGAGTTTCATACTACTGTTGCTGGTCTGCGGTCCATCTCGGCTTCCAATTTCACCATCTGCTGCATCTCCTTCGCCTATAACATCAGAAACATGGCCTTACGTGTGTTGAAATCCTTATCTGAAGGCACTTAACAACCCTGGCCTCTCTTCTCCCATAAATAAGATCTTGTCACCACATTCTTGATACTCAAAGTATGGTCCATGCACAAGCAGCACCAGCATTACCTGGGACCCACTTAGAAACACAGAATCTTGGAGTCTACCCAGACCTACTGAATCAGTTAAAATCTTCATTTTAATAAGATCTCCAGGAAATTTTTATGCACATTAAATTTTGAGAAGGACTGGTTTACACAGTGCCAGGAGAACCACTTGAAAAGAGGCTGAACCACTCTCTTTATTTTTAGACTATGCCCCATCAATTAAATCTATAAAAAATTATAATTTTATCACATTTACAATAAGTATTGCTTATGTACAACTTATTTCCTAAATAGCCTGAAATTTAATTAAAAGTAATTCCCTAAGAAACTAATTGACAGAGAAGTTCAGGTGAGAGCATATTACACTGGATTGGCTGGAGTCTTCTGTAAATGGAATGTTAAGGAACATGCAGGCTTTCAGGAATCCTATTGTGCAAACTCTATCTCTGTGGGCTCTTACTTCTCTAGGGTAACTTTTATGGACTACTAGGAAGTAAGCAATGGAGAATTCAATCTTATGAGTCTAGACTGCCACTAAGACAACCAGCTAATGTGAGAAGAGGAAAGCAGGTCTGAAGGCGGCAGCATCTGGTGAGAAATACTTGCTTGGCAACACAGGAAAAAATCAAATAATACATTTCAACTTTTATTATCCAACTGGTAGCCTGGATGCTTTTGCCCAACCCAATGCATATATCTTTTGAGGAATGAGGATTGCCCATTTCCTTTTTTACTGACATGCTGCTTTGAAATAAAGGACATTTGAAAATAGAAACAAGGACCTATGAAGATATAAATCAGAGGAAGATACTGAAGCACTCTGATGTTACTACTCATGTCTGCTTAGATACTCCAACTAAATGGAAAATCACTGGGAGGGGTCTGGTTAACTGTAGATCACAGGAGAAGCATCTTCCAAATGAATTCCTGTGACAAAATTAATTTAACCCACAGGCTATACTGTGATTTTCTTCTTCTTCTCACTTCTCTATTTTGTTGTTAAGTTTCATTTTGGTGAGGATGGATACAATAACACCAAAGAATTAAATCTTTCTGTGTAAATTTGGGATGGGTGGTTCCCTCTACCCAGATATTTTATGTGCCTGAAATATAGTAATACTCTAATAGAGAAATGAAGAAATGGAGAAAAATATACAAACATGAAACTATGGCACAAACAGTATTCATAAAGGATGACAGTGAAACATTATCAGCACTGGAAATTAAATACTTCCATGTTAAGTAAATAGTTAGAAACGATTCTCTGTGCTTCTCCCCCTTTAGCACCTGAAGAAAGTATTGACCATGGCATAGAAGGAAGAAAAAGAGTACATTACAAGACTATTCCAACAGCTAAGTTCTTGTATGAGTTGGGTGACCATTCCCATTTACCTGAGGCAATTCCAGTTTATGCCTGTAGTCCTAGCTATTATGAACAGAGCTGCCTTTCACTCTCAAAACCACCCTGGTGTGGACAATAAATTATATGGTCACTTGTTTATGAGGGGTGATTAGGGTCTTTGACAGTTGGGACAGCTGTCAAGAGAGAGAGCGTGACAAGAGTCACTGTGTAATGTTTTTACATGCAGAGTTTCAAATAGCTCTGTCATTAAAAAACACCAACAAACTTTTAGCAGGTTAGCAGGTGCTTCAAAAATTAACTGGAGTCATATTAACATTTGTGAATTATCTGACTTTGTGACCCTGTCTTAACTGTGGTCGGTCCGAAGGATATCTGCAAATCACTGCTCGGGTTATATCTTTATTTCCATGATCTGTCTCCCAGATCTGCAATAGAAAATACAGGCTCAAGTACCCTCAGAAATAATTCTCTGAAGACTTGGACATTTTGGTATGAATATCACATTAGAAATCCAAGCATGGAATAGTCAATCTTTTAAATTCAAACCCTTTAGATATATGTTATGACCAGATGTGACTCATAAATGGAGACTGCACAGAGAATACGGACGTATTTGAGAAGGAAAGCAATGTCTTGCTTATCAGAGTTTCAGTCCTACCTTGCGTTTGGGACACTGCATGACAGGATTTCAAAAGCTGTTTGTACAAAAATAGTAATGTCAAAATTGAGTCATACATACAAAACAAATAAAATAAATGAATATTGAAGTGAATTTGAGAAATGAATGCAAAACCATATACAGAAAAGCAAAAAGCTAAGGATAAAACATGTACACACCCCTCGGTGACAAACTTTCCCCTATTTGATCTCAACAGAAAAAAAAGAAACAAAACAAACAACTAATGCTTGTCGTCCCCAGACTGTGCCTCTCTTCTGTGGCAGTAAGTGGAAAACCTGACCTTTAAGCAAAACCTTTTACCTGTCTTTATTAAATGATAGGATTAATGACAAAAATCAATTTTTGAGACTCGAGTGTGTGACAGTAGTGGAGTTGTTAATGTTTGAAATGGCACATGTCAAGACGGATGAGATATACGGTGTAGCTGGGAGGTCTATGAAAAAACTCAAGTAGGAAAAACATCTCCGACCTTCAGAGTTTTAAGTGAATACTTGGCTGACCAAGTAGGCAAGGCCATAAAGTGGCTTACAAATAGCTTAGGAGGTGAAGATCCAGAATCAGGACCAAAACATACTGACGCTTGGTTCATTTCTGCCACTGCCTTCAATGCTGGCTTAGTTAATGGACTGAATCCACTACATGCCTTGCTTTGGAAAGGGAGATCTGGGACACTGATTAGGAGCAGGGTCACAGGAAAACAGAAACCTTTGAGGGAAATAGTATGGGAGAATGTTTAAATTTATCTCTGGCTTAGAAAAAAAGTCTTGGGATGTAACAATTATTTAGAAGATTGTTATTAGAAGTTTGAATTGTCTGCAGACAGAGAACTGTTCTTGCTGATGAAATGTTTACCTGGTTATGAAGGGAGCTATGCTATATAGTTCCAGACCTTGCCTTTTTATGAGGGAAGACATGAAGTCACTGTATCTTTCGCACAATGCCCATGACAGTGTTGTATTGTACAGAAAAACTGTGAATTGAGAGCTTTGTCACCTTTAAATGCCAAAAAATGTATACTAGAAAGATCTGGGATTGAATTTGCAATTGAACAGGACATATTTGTAAGGCAAAGCTTAACACGAAAATTCAAGTCCAAATTCTTTCCTTGCCTGAAGCATCAATATGATATCTTGAATGTCTTTTCCTTGAATCTCATTAAACTTTACCAAGTCTCAAGCCTTTTCATGTTCTATACTTTCCCAAGCTTTTGTGACTCAAAGTATCAGTCGTGGGTGGTAGACCTTAAAAGGCATAATTTGAATTTTTGGAACAAAAAGCCAGCACCCTCCCAACACAATCCAATCAATACACTTATCACTAATCTAGTAATTTAATGCAAGAACTCTGGTGTGGCTGGAATTAGCCATGTATTAGGATAAAACTCAAAGTGATTTTTAAAAATTATGTACTTCAGCTCCAAAACTAGCAACACAAGATAACTGTATTCTCTAGCTCAGGCATACACCACTATTGTAGTGATGAGTAATTCTGAGCACATTTACATTCTTTAGTCAAACTTGTTGCTAAGCAACACAATTAATTTCTAAGTAGTTTCTTAATTTAGTTAACTAACACACGACTGTGTCTTACCTTTCACTGTGCCCGTCTTCTAGGGAGAATTTTTAAAAACCTTCTCCAAGGCATCCTTATCCCTACCCATTGTTGAATCACTAAAGTGGCTTCTAAAGCTTTGGAGATGGTGGCCTTCCTTATCCTTATTCATATTCGCACCTTTCCCCCAGGAGCACTTTCTGAGAAGTGCTTTAAGAGCAAAATCACCAGCTAGGTAACTTGTACCAGAATGTGATGTGTTTATGAGTTGGCCAAATGAATTGGACCTATGGGACAATAACCATGTATTGTCCCCTTGGAGTGGACTTGCTCATGAATAGAAGCATTTAGCTGAAAAGAAAATGGGAAACATAACTAGGAAGTATGTTGATGAATAAAATTTCTGTCCACCAAAAAGTAAAGAATCTGAAACTAGAAGTCAGATTTATCTGTTACCCAATTGCCATACAAAAAAACAATTTCATAGTGTTTTTTTTTTAACTTTCTCAAAGGTACTTTTTAGTATAATTCCTACTTAAGTATTCTTCAATGGGAGCCATTTACTCTGGAAAAAAACATACCTTAAACAGGACTGTTTTATAGATGGGAGAAAACAGGAAGGTACAATGTGGCACAAGTACATACTTCAGCAAAACCTCTCAGTTTCTAAATTGAGTTTCCTAGGAATAATAACTTCTACACCAACTACACCTAATGAAGAAAATTTGAGCTGAGAGAGTCTGAAATTTAAACAATAAATGAGGGTCATGTTGCCATAGGAACTAGAGGGATTTCCATCAAGTCAAAGGTCACTGTGGGAAGCTGATGGGCTGTAGCCCATTTGGAATGATGCCTACCTGTACTATGCACCAGATAAAAATACATTTATCTTGGTGCTGATATATGCCCAATGGCCTAATTAAACAGTTGGCGTTTGGATAACTCTTTATTTGTGTATATTTCTTTATTTAGTGTCTTGTGTAGCTGGGAAAAAGTACCAAGACTATGGTATCCACTCATGCTCAGTGGTTTGTAGCATGTGGGGGCTCATGACTTTAGATACCACTTGTAAATTCCAGGGAGATGTTTAAACTTTATTTTTAGATTGAGGTTGAAAATAGGCGGTTTCTCTCATTTGCTTTTAAACATAATATCCCTTGCCTGCAGTTTGCAAATTATAAACTCTTAATGAAAATGGAGAAATACTTTGTAAGTTCTGTTTTTCATCCCCTCACTTTTAGTGATTTCATTCTTAGAATTTCCAGAATTTATCCAAGCATTCTTTTTTATTTTTATTTTTTGGCACAGCTACATTCTGCTTCTGCTCCAAAAACAGGTACCTTCTTTTCTTTTTGGATATAATAAAGAAAATATAGAAATGGGCAACAAATTCTTCTATCCACCTTTCCATTACAACATGTGAGCCACTGGCTTTTCCAGGAGGGTCACTGTGGGCCATGGCATGTATATCCCAAAGCTGGCTAGATGCCTACATGTTTTTATGTATTTTAGGTAAGATACCTGCTCATTCTGTTTCTCTAGGAATTCTAGATGTTCAAGCTGGACTTTTTTCAACTGATCCATCTCTTTGGACTGCTTCATTGCGAGCTGCAAAAAAAAAAAAAAAAAAAAAAAAAAAAATTCTGGTAAACTTTGGGTTGCAATCTTAAAACAGGGACAAGGATGACTTGTAAGTTTATAAATTTAAGTGAAAGAGATAATTTTTTAAAAAGAAAAAAATCTCAAAATTTAGTTTAAACTCGTAATTCTTTCTGGGAAGTTCTTTCCTGCTAAAATCCTAGAAAATTATAATAGAGTACTTCCACATGACTAAACTTGGCTTCATTTACTGTATAAACCGATGCCAAATCATTACCTTAAAGATTTTAGTAAGAGATTATTTTAGCTTTCAGGAGCAGAGAAGCTGGAATGTTTAATGTACAGAAAAATCAAATTAAGCAAAGTAGCTAGCGGTCTGGTGGCTAAGCATGAGTTATTGTTTATGGTTTTTTAAAGGAAGAATGCCAAAAACATAATAAAATACTTACTCTCTTTCTTTCTTCCAGAAACTTTTTAGTGTTGCTGCTGTTTAACTCCCTGACTCGCCTAAAAGTAATGGGCACAAATAATGGTTGGCATAACATTGAATAAAATTAATATTATATAAAATAAGAAAGAGCTATATTTCTATCAGATTCTCTGGATGGAATTACTGCTTCATTTTTCTAATTTTTATTGCAGCATTTTCAAACATATAATGTACAGAGAAGGATATTTAAAAATCTGTATATCCCTCAGATTAACCAATATTATTGTTCTGCCATGTTTATCTCATATTTATAAAGGCAGTAAACAGTTACAGATGTAATTAAAACCCCATTTGTATTATTTCTGATTCAGTTTTCCTTCTTCCTCTCTCACAAGAGGTAACCACCATTGTGAATTTGGTGTGGATCTTCTCACCCACATTTTAATATTTTAAACCACATATAGATGTGCCCATGTGTAATATAAGAGCTTCTCAAACTTTCCTGTGCATACCAGTCACCTGGAGAGATGATCAAAACCACAGACAGTTGTGCCCTCCCCCTGGAGACTTTGATTCCGTGGGCCTGGGCTGGGAGGCCTGCATTTCTAATAAGCTCCCAGGTGATGCTGATGCTACTGGTGTTGTTTTGTCTGTTTCCTAAATGTATCACAGTCTGGGTTTCTTCCCATAGCTTGTCACTTAGTCTTATGTTTTAGAGAAATATCTATGTTCCAAACCACGTCATTATTTTCATCTTCCATATGGATTTTTAAATTTATGAACAGACTACACTGTTTCCTCTTTGCCATTAAGAAAAAGTAGGTTATTTTCAAATAGCACTACAATGATGGGGTGCGTGGGCCCTATAATACCTGACACAATTGTCTGTTGGATAAATGGATGAGTGGATAAAGTGTGGTGCATATCACCTTGTGCACACAGGCAAAGGCTGCTTGAGTATATACTTAGACTTGCCAGTTGGCAGGGTACAAACAGGCTTCTCCTTCCTCCAATCCAGTCGTCCCAACTGTATTTCCAACTGCAGTGTCTAGGTGTTACTCTTTCCCTGTATCTTTGCCCACTCTTAGTACCATGACTTTTTTGTCAGTTGAATGCTCCTGTGGAATGGCATTGTTCCGTTGTTTTAACTTGCATGTCCTTGACTACTGGCAAGGTAGAGTGTTTTTCATAAGTAAAAAGACCTATAACTTCTGGAACTTCAGTAATAATTGACAGTCTGTTCAGGTGTTCTCCATTTTCAGTCAATTTTAGATATTTGTATTTTTCAAAGCAATTCTCCACTCCATCTAAGTTTTCAAATCTATTGGCAGTTTTTTTTAATAGTAGACTTAGTTTTTCAGTGTTTTCTCTGTTGTTATTTCCCCTTTCATTCCTAACATCACTAATTCATGTTTTCTCTTTCTTCTTTACTCTTGATGGAAGCTAACTGATTTATTATTCTTTTCAAATAAGCTTTTGTTTTTCTGAATGTTCTCTACTGCATTTTGTTTTCTATTTCGTATATTTTGCTTTTTAAATTTATTATTTCTTTCCATTAGAGATCTTTGGGTTCATTCTGTTTTTCTAACTTCATATTCTCTTTGAGTGTTTAGCTCATTAATTTTCACATCTTTAAAAAAAAATACATGCAGCTAGGCTATACTTTTCACTCCAAATATCATGTTAGCTAACCTCTACACATTGATAGTGTTTATTGTCATTCAGTTATAATATTGTGCAATTTCTGTTAAAATGTCTTCTTTGACCCAAAAATGGAAGTATTATTTTCAGTTTCTATATATTTCTTAGTGCCATGACAAATTTTTAAATTTTATTTCTCCTTAGTTTGATAAAGTGGATACAAACATACACACAGTGTGGGTTTAGAAGAGAACTATCATTTGGTATACATAATCATTTTTTAAAAAGCCAATTTGGAACCACCTACCACCTAATGCAAACTTACAAAGGAGAGCAGAGTAGGATGACAACACTTAACCAAAAATGTACAGTACTTGGGTAACAGACACCCTGAATGCCCTGACTTTATCACTGGGCATTGTATACATGTAACAATTTTTCTCATGTACCCCCATACAGTTGTACAAATAAAAATACAAAGTTAGAATAAATAAGTACATTTTTTCAAAATAAGATAAATTTTAAGAACCTTGCTAATTTAGTTAGCAGTAACTCCTAATTGAAGATAATTTGACCTCAGCGAAGCTAACGTCCACTTTGTAATGTATTTGAAAAAGATGGTAAAAAGCTATTAATTGGCACATTTGTCATGGTTAATTCTATATTTCACTTTGGACAGTCTACAACAGTTCAAATTAATGAGGTTTTATCATGGCTGAAATATTTGATGTTTTCAAGCTGAAGAAGGTGTCATTTCCATGTATTTTGTTTAAGCAACCTTAAACAAAGTTGATTATCCGAGAATAACATCCAGAGAATGACACTTTTTTTTTTTTTTTTTTTTTTGAGACAGAGTTTCGTTCTTATTGCCCGGGCTGCAGTGCAATGGCACAATCTTGGTTCATTGCAACCTCCGTCCCCCATGTTCAAGCGATTCTCCTGCCTCAGCTTCCCGAGTAGCTGGGATTACAGGCATGTGCCATCATGCTTGGCTAATTTTGTGTTTTTAGTAGAGATGGGGTTTCACCATGTTGGTCAAGCTGGTCTCGAACTCCTGATCTTAGGTAATGTGCTTGCCTTGGCCTCCCAAAGTGCTGGGATTACAGGTGTGAGCCACCGTGCCTGGCTGAGAATGACACTTTTAAAAAATAAATGAGAACTAGGGAGATATCATAACGCTGGTGCAAATAAGCATTGATTAAAATGATAATCATCTCCCTAGAACGTTCTTATTGTGAGATAGAAATAATACTCCATGTTGACTGGGAAATGTGATAGACAATGTCTTGAAAGGGAAATTCCTCTCCAGGTCAAAATTACCATGGAATTCCATATCCTATTAGTAGGTCAGTATTTCAAAACAGCATTTAATCCAACAAAATTTCAGCACAAAATATGTGCTGGGTGGTGTGATGCTTTATATTTTATCATGCTTTGACTTTAATTATTGTTCAATAATTGAAATGTGTTCTAAAAACTAATAACATCAAGGCAAAGTTAATAGTCCTGCCATGTTCAAAGCAAGGAAGAAACACCAGGTATCAAGCAAGCACCCCAAAAAAGGTCAGGCAGCAGGGGAATTGGAACATGGGTGCTTTACTTTGCAGCTGGAAAGCTTCTAACATCTCGGCCTGTGTTTAACAGACAGATGAGTGACCCAAGGCCATAAACTTCATGTTCATGTTTCAACCCCAACTGTGAATCTTCACTTTGCTCAGTGTTTGGTGGTGGGGCATAAAACAGTTTTTCTTTTTCTTCTTCTTCTTTTTTTTTTTTTGAGATGGAGTCTTGCTCTGTCACCCAGGCTGGATGGCAGTGGTGCAATCTCAGCCCACTGCAATCTCTGCCTCCCAGGTTCAAGTGATTCTCCTGCCTCAGCCTCTTGAGTAGCTGGGATTACAGGCATGCGCCACCATACCCAGCTAATGTTTTGTATTTTTAGTAGAGATAGGGTTTTACCATGTTGGTCAAGATGGTCCCAAACTCCTGACCTCAGATGATCCCCCCACCTCAGCCTCCCAAAGTGCTGTGTGAGCCACAGTGCCTGGCCCACAGTTTTCCTCTGAGACATGGACTTTGGCCAAAAGACCGCCTTCTAGCTAGGTATTATTCCTGCAAAAGAAGTAACCTCTCTATCCCTAACTGCTGGTGGCCTAACCCAGTCTCTTGGTTAAGGAGCTGACAGCATTTTTATTCTCAGAGGTTTCCGGAGGTGGATGATGGGCAGCACAGGTGATTGCTGGGAATTAAGTGCCTATCCCTTGGGTAACATGACTATTGACAGCTCCTCAGATCCCCTTTACCAGATGTGTCTAAAGAGCTTGCACCTGGCACCTTCTCTGGAGTCACACAAACCTTCCCCCCAATCTCAGGCAGCCAATAACTGCATAATACAGAAACACAAAAGCCAGGTACTCTTGCTTCAAAGAGGGAAAGACCTGTGGTGTGATTTTTTACTTGAGGCTATAGGAACTCTAGGTGAAACCACATCCTTGCTTAGGGCCTGCCCTGGGCCTTTCTGCTTCCTCACTCCCTTTCTCTGAAGGTCCTTTACTTGGTAAATCACAAGCACCTAAATTCCTACCTTGATCTGCTTCTAAAGCCTCACCTAACATAGGACAAATGAGACAAATGGGGTGGGGGCTTTAAAGATGATCCCAAGTGAAGGACTACTGAAGAAGACCGCCCTCCTGACTGCTGCTGCTATTCAGAACTGGCCCATCCGAGCAGACTAACACCTGAGCAAGGGAGAGGCCTGCAGAATGACCCAATGGAACCTGGGAAGGGTGCTTCAGAATTATATTGATTATAGGCCGGGTACAGTGGCTCAAGCCTGCCATCCCAGCACTTTGGGAGGCCGAGGTGGGTGGATCACTTCAGGTCAAGAGTTCAAGACCAGCCTGGCCAACATAGTGAAAACCCATCTCTACTAAAAATAGAAAAATTAGCCAGGTGTAATAGTGCGTGCCTGTAATTCCAGCTACTCGGGAGGCTGAGGCAGGAGAACCTGGGAGTCGGAGGTTGCAGTGAGTCGAGATTGTGCCACTGCACTCCAGCCTGGGTGACTCAAAAAAAAATAAGCAAAAAAAAAAAAAAAAAAAAAGGAATTATATTGATTATGTCATATTTTATACAACTTTGTAAAGAAGCACATACATATTGAATGTAAACTAATTTTACTGGTGGCAGTATGCAACCAGAAAATGTAGACAATTGTACTACAGTGATAATAACAGATCTTCATTGTAGTTACAATAGCAAGATTTCTAGTTAAAAGCCACAAGTGCTTTTACGTCTCAGATGGGTGTGTGTGTACACATGTAAACGTAGTCGAGACAGTGTCCTCAAGTCAACGCCACATTCCTGCAGCAAGCACTCTCAGACTTACCTTTCCCGTTCTGCTTTATTCTTGATAGATTTATCTTGGCTGATGGCTTTGCTATTTTCCATAGAAATCTTAGCCTGGTGTGCTCGCATTTCCTTGCTTTCCCTATGCATTAAACACAAGAAAACAAACAGGGAGGGGGGATGGAGAGTTACTGTTTAAGGGGCAGAGAGATTCACCTGGGAAAGATGAAAAAGTTCTGGAGGTGGATGGTAGTGACGGGTACAAAACAGTGTGAATGTCCTTAATGGTTACAATATTAAAGTTTACATTTTATATGTACATATAGACAGTTTAAAAATGAAAAGAAAAAAACACAAATACTTCTGTGCATAGCAACAGGACTAGGCCCACTCCTCTCACTCTTTGTTTTTTCTATTATTGAGCTCATCGAGTTCTGCAGTTTGGAAAAAGGAGGGAAGGGGCTTCAAGCCATGTGGATGCTGATCCCTGAGGGGCAGTGGCCACCTAGTGGTGAAGTGACTGATGGGCTGTGATGAGGAGACAGTATTTTTGTCCATAAATATAGAGATCTCAGCTTTGCCTCATATTATTTGGGACCAGATGGGCTGGAAGAGAGAGAGAGAGGAAAAGTATTCTAACCCTCACATACGGCCTTCCTGTTTCTATCATCCATGGGAATGAAAGGGACTAAATGGTTTCAAGTAAGCTGAGAGTAGCAAAAAAAGTAGGTTTGCAGGTGACCAACCACTGTGTGTGTGAATGCATGTGCATGCATGATATACATATGTTTATTTATGTGTACATTAAAGGAATAAAACTTAAAATGCTAAATAGAATATGATTACAAAGAATTTTTTCTATAACCTGTTGAGACCTGCTTAAAGCACTGCCTGGAAACCAGCATCCAAGCAGTCGGGTTGCCTAGGCGCTGTAACAACAAGCGCTGCATTCAGTGGGATGGGCAACGCTGAAGCGGAGAGTTGTTCACTCAGCTACCCTAGAGCCACTTCAGCAGGAACATGTATAGACACTCTGAACGCAAGAAGGTCACTCTCAGATTTTTCCATAACATGTTAGGAAATTGACCTTTCTGTATTCATTCATTCAACAAACACCAATGCCCAAATGTTGCTGACAAGTGTCAAGAAAGCAAAAATTTTTAACCAAGAATAGTTGTGATGACGATGAAGAAACACAACCACCAGGGGCTTGGAAAAGCTTAAATACTGCTGTCACTTTGAAAAGTGCTTCTGCCATGGATTTAATGTTTAAGGTATATTGGTAACTAGGTTATGGCCTCTTTCAATGACTTCCTAAGCAACGTAAGAATTAGTATACTTTGTCTTTTCCTTTCGGATAATGCCTACAGTTGTGAGATAATATTTTTATTTTTCTTTATTCAATTTTTCTTTTATAAAAGGTTAGATAAGTGCTGTGCTGTATTCCGTGAAGTATCTTTGAACAAGGGGAGGCACCTAAAATCTGTCATTGTAGCAATCATCAAAGGCAGGATGATGAACACATCTTTCTGCAGAGCAAATCAAGAGCATTTCTAAGGAACAAAGAAAAGACAATTTCTAATCCTATAGGACTAAATAGAATGCTTTAAAATACATGGAGGTACAGCACATTATCCTACAGAAAATGGAGCATGGTAGGCCTCATTAGTTGCTTCAAATGAGAATTGGAAACCATAGCACAAACACTTTGTTCTTGTGCAAAGTATCTGTCACTCCGAAGTCAAGCTGGGAATTTGGGCATACAGCCAGATAATTTATGCAATTGGCCTTAAAAACATTTTTGTTTGATTTATCTGTATAGTGCTTCTATTTTCTACTCCTGTTGTGTTTCCACAGACCCTAACTGTGGCACACCATAGGCACTAAGTAAGAACCAACCAAGCTGCAACCGAGCTATGATAAAAAGATGTAACAGACACCAACCCTTCGCTCAGGGATAAGTCCAGCTCATGGCTTGCACTATTTCAGATGCAATATTCACTTCACTGAAGTGGACATGGGCCAAAATAAACTGATACTTCACTGTTTCTTAATCAGGCCTATCTTTCCAAAGTTCACAGACGCCCTAACACTGTAACAAACGGAAATGGAGGCTCTCTCCACATGTAGCCTTTAAGTGACCAGAACCCAGTCACTCTAGGAGCTCAACGGATTGGTCTTTGTCTCTCTGTGTGTCTTTTCTTCCTAAGAGGCTCCAGATCATTTTCCAAGGGCCAGTTCCAGCCCTACCATTTTGCAAGGTCTCCATGACCATTCTGAAAAGGTAGAGCTCCTCTGAGCTGAATGCCTTTAGTGCCCCTGACATTTTAAAATATGTGTCATATGCTACTTTGGTATCTGACCTAACTTTGCTATAAGCATAGTATCTTGCAAACACCTGTAAGCCCTCTGAAGGCAGGGCCATTTCTTTTATCTTTTCTTTATTTTTTTAAATAGAGACAGGATCTTGCTATGTCTTGAACTCCTGGGCTCTAGTAATCCTCCTGCCTTGGCCTCCCAAAGTACTGAAATTACAGGTGTGAGCCACTACACCTGGCCCCTGGGGGCCATTTCTTATAGTCAGCCATATGATGAGATATACAAAAGAGCTACATGTTATATGTCAAACTGATTTCACTTATTACCTTGGCTCTCTTATACCCACAAAATCAGCTTTTGTTTTTAAAGATTAGATGTTTACTGTGGAGATGGCAACTCCCCCACCTGTCATGGGACAGTTTCAGCTGCTGGGTCTGCTGCTCGTGGGCGTTGATGAGTAGCTTCTTGAGCAGCTCGCACTGCTGGCTGAGATGCAGGTCTCGGATTTCTTGCTCCTCAGCACTGTGAGTATTGATCATTTCTGACCATTCCTTTGTGTGCTGTGCTACAATCTCTTTGACCTGTTTGGGAAAAGGGAGTGGTGCCATTGTCATCCTCATAGGTCAGGTATGAACCCGAAAGCACAATATTATTTAGGTATTTAGATTCCTCCCACCAATTTACTTGGTGAAACATGAGACACCTATAACCCCCAAAAAATACGTACTAATCAATGGGAAGCAGGAAGTTACTGTTTACTAAAATAAATCAACTGCTTTGGCTCTGAATAGTTAACTGTTAATTGTCACCCCTTATTTCACTGCTTCATTTTGCCACACTCTGTTTTTTTGTTTTTGTTTTGTTTTGTTTCATTTTGTTTTGACAAAGTCTGCCTCTGTTGCCCAGGCTGGAGTGCAGTGGCTTGATCTTGGCTCACTGCAACCTCCACCTCCCAGGTTCAAGAGCTTCTCCTGCCTCAGCTTCCCAAGTAGCTGGGATTAGAGGTGTGCACCACCACGCTCAGCTAATTTTTGTGTTTTGAGTAGCAACAGGCTTTCACCATGTTGGCCAGGCTCTCGAACTCTCGACCTCAGGTGATCTTCCCACCTTAGCCTCCCAAAGTGCTGGGATTACAGGCATAAGCAACTGCGCCCGGCCAACACTCTGGTTTGTGTGGTCCTTGGACTCCTTTACCCATTCCATCAGGATTCTCTTTATCACCTCATGTTTTTCCAGCTTCACTTCCATAACAGCACATGTCTGAGTAGAGAGCTGTGTGTTCGTTTATTTCTGGATCATGACTTACTGTGTCAACCCTGGTAGATACTAGGATAGAAAGTCCTCCCTGCCCAGTATCCATGCTCTTTGTAGTGCTGTTTTGCAGAAGGGTTTTGCAGCGGGGTTTCACAGCACTCTTGTCAAGAGCTGGAGTCTGTTTCTACAGCTCTTTGAATCTGGGTGACCTGTGACTCACTTTAGCCAATGAGATAGTAGAAAATGTGACGCAAGCAGAGGCTGGAGCGTACTTGCCCTTCTGCTGTGCTTGCAGCCCTGAGGCTACCTTGTGACTGAGCCTGTGCTATCCTGCTAGAGGTTGAGAGGTCATGTAGGAAAACGACCAACAGGTAGCCAACTACTGTACCAGATACACAAGTGAGGACATGCACCCCCTGCTGACTGTAGATACAAAGTGAGTCCAGCCAAAATCTGCAGAACTATCCAGTAGAGCATGGCTCAAATTTCTGACCCACTAAATTGTGACCGAATAAACTGTAGTCATTGCTTTAATGTACTATACTTTGGCACAGTTCATTATACAGCAAAAGCAAACTAATACTGTTGCCAAGGCTTCTCTTATTTATGCAAAGCATCTAAGAATCGTGTCAGTTTGCACAACCACTAATTCTCAAACATTCCAGTTAAGAAGAGAGAATGGGGAATAACTCTTAAAGACACATGACTTACTACCTCTATAGAGTTCATGCTCTATAAAATATATAGCTACCAAGGAGAACATCTTGAAGAGCCTGGCTACTCCACGCACATAGCAGGGCTATTGGGCCAGGTGACACAGCTGCATATAGATAGATGAAGGCTGGCTAGTTGGACCACAGCTATTGTTTGGAGCTTTCTTTAACAGTTTTTTTCCCCTTTTCTCTTGAAAACTATTATTGCTGGAAGAATTGTTTGTGTTCTTAACTGGGACTTAACACTTAGTTCTCCAAATGCCCACAAATTTGATTAAAGTCTCTCGAGCTCCTATTGCCCGTCTTCTTTTTTAGAATATCAGCTCTTAATTTTTTCTCATCTCAAATTTCCACAGTAAAGTTAGGAGAGAGTAAGTATCAACGCCCAATCTGGATAGTTCTCTGTCCTATGTTTAATGTTACTTCAATGGGGAAGTATATTCTGTATTTTATGTAATGTTTCCTTTTAGTATCTTCATTTATTGTTTTACTTGATGCCTCTGAGGCAGGCAACATAAATACTGTTAGCACAGTTCAACAGACAAGACAAAAGAAGATATTACATGAAGTGGCTCTTCTCAAAGCCAGTGAGTCTGAGACAAACATGAACCCTTGGCTCCCCTGACATCCCAGAACAGATGCAGGCTACTAGCCCACCTCTGGGCTACTGTTATTTCTGATTTATACCAGGTACTCCTTCTAAAAAATTACAAAGTATATTCTGTAAGTCACTGCTGTAAAAATGGGCATTTTCTTACCTTAGATTTGTGATCTGATGTCAGTGTCTGAATTTTAATTTCTGTTTCTTTTTTCATTTCGAGACAATTACTTCCCCTGAAAATGGAAAGTTGCAAATGCATGCCAGAAATTAGATATTTTCCCATTCCCATGGGTATTTGCTACAAAGCTTTCTGATGAAGATAATATATTCATCAAATGTGAGATGCCATGGCTCATTGGGCAACACTTGTCTTTCTAGCAATAGATTCACACCTTACAAAATATTATCTGTTTCATGATTACTCAATTCAACCATTACATAAAGAGGCACTTCAAACCTCACAATTATTTCATTGTTAAGGGGCTGTTGTCAGTTTCCATTTTGGTTCCTGTTTTTCTTCAAGCTATTTTTCACTTATTCAATAAAATATTATTTGGGATGAAAACTGGAAAATAGGTCTTCAGCCTTGAAGTGAATTTTAAATTCTTCCGTTTGGTTATAAAGCCAATTTTTGTCTTTTAAACATGCCAGTGAAGAAGAAAATAGCAATCCTTGGCACCATAGGGCAATTTCTGCTTCTTATTCTATTGTGAGTAGGAAATATATGCTAGGCGATTGCCCAGCAACCATTACTGCTTATTTCAGCGATTATGTTTTCCTTTTGGAATAGCCACGTCGCTGCTGAAACAAGAACAGGTCCTGAGCTTCGTCTTCAGCATGTATGCTCTGGTTATTATAGCTCAAGTCAGAATGCTTCATTATAATATTAATTCTTAGTTCCTTTGAGAGAAGCATTACTCTAAAAATGTGAGGTCTCGCATCAAATGTAGCACTTCTCAATGGCTGGCACTGAGCAAGTTTCTTTCGTCTGTTATTCAGTGAGCTTGCGGCACAGCGGAAACATTCCCCTATCTTAATTCTAGACCGGTCTTTAACAGTAAATGCAATGAGAGGTTTTATTCAACAGTCTCATCTGTGGGCATAAGGGCACGCACTTGTAATATTTATTAAAAGTCAAGATTTTATTTTCCCCCTTCTAGTGCATCAACCTTCTTTATATTTGGGCTATGCAAAACAATTTTTGTAATTTTGTATTTTCCCAACTTTAGCTTGGCCTTCCTTGTTTACCCATTCATCTTTTTGCCATCACCTTAAAGATCCCTGAGAGGAAAGCATATGAGAGATAATCATTAGCCAAAGCTGGAAAGCACTTGAATAAAGCTTCCCTTTCCCAGGTCAATTGATCCTTTCAGCTGAGTAGGTAAGAGTAAGGGGAAACCTTTCATTTGTCTTAAAAATAGATACTGCATGAGAAAGCTCCAAGGGCTGTTACCAATTTCCCTTTTCACTAACTTTTTAGCAGTTGTAGTTAAAAGTCCAAATGGGCCAGGCGCAGTGGCTCAGGCTTGTAATCCCAGAACTCTAGGAGGATAAGGCAGGCAGATCACTTGAGGTCAGGAGTTGGAGACCAGCCTGGCCAACATGCTGAAACCCCATTTTTATAAAAATACAAAAAATTAGCCAGGCGTGGTGGTGCACGCCTGTAATCCTGGTTACTCAGGAAGCTGAGGCAGGACAATTGCTTGGACCTAGGAGGTGGAGATTGCATTGAGCCAAGATTGGCTACTGCACTTCAGCCTGGGTGACACCACAGGACCAAGTCCAGGCCACCCTGATACCATGGTCAATCTTAATAATGAGAAACTTTCTTCAGATACAGCTTTCCAGAAGAAAGTATCTGATGTCTGATTTTGAAGTAACTTTTAATGTACTGCTAAGATTCTGCTGTTTAGAGTACTTGGAAAACGCTCTGCGTAAAGAGCCCAGTGGGCGTGCTGCGTTTGACAGCACAGGCTCAGGAAGAAATCTGCAGATTAGACTTTTCCAGTCTCATCTACATTTAGGATAAAATAGGGCTTTATTTGTTGAGAGACCTCCAAGAGCACTCAATAGCCTATTTTGGGGGGTTAAGTGTCACATTAGGAATACTTCTACTAACTACCAAGTTTATAGTAAATTACATTTTGATCCCACATTTTGAGAGTAAAAACAATCATGAGGTAAAGGTATCTTTTATTCATTTTTTTACATTTCTAAATGTAGCACTCATGATTGATTGAATCAGAAAACTGTAATATTATTTTTAGCAAAGAAATGTACTCTTATTGTGCTCGGGTCTGAAACCTCTTTAATAAAGTTTTTTGGTTTGGTTAAGACAAAACTGTGTTTCCAAATACAGCCATCCACAAAAATGCATGAAACATTTTTTGAAAAGGTATCTTGTGAATACCAACAACCTTATTCTTGGAGAGTACTATAAAGTTGTCGACAATTTGTTCCTTGGTATTAAGAGTCTACATCTATCATCAGTTTCAATAGTATAGCCTGAAATGCCATTAAATATGAGAAATTAATTTATAAAAAATAAATAGGCCAAAGCTGCTGATGTGGTTAGAATCTAGAAGAATCACAGCTCATCAAAACTTACTGTAATCACCACCAATATTGCCACATGAGCTCTGAGGTGAGCGACTTACTCCCTTAACATACAGATCAAAATGTTTTCTAAGTAACAGGCATGTTTCTGCCTCAGTGATACATAGTGAAACCTACAGGAAAAACAAAAGGCAGATGACACATAATAACAGATGCTCAATAATCAGTGCCTGCTTTGTATTTTTCTGAAAAATACAACCATAATAAAAATGAAGGTACCTCTCAAACAGTGAGGCCTGAGACCAGGGCAGGCATATGCAGTTACCCACCATTTACTCCTCAAGCAAATTACATTGGTTTCATGTCATGAACTTAGGTCTTGGGATCTGAAATTTCAGCAATAAGAACCAAGTCCAAGAAAATTATAACAAACATGATCTGTTCTATTTTTAAAGCTTAGTTTTCTAGGTATATCTTGAGTGACTGTAAAAAATAAACAAACAGGAAAAAAAAAAAACCCAAATAGTAAAAAGAAATCTCAGTCTCCTTTTCTCTCATGCCAAAGACATCAGCAGGGATTGAAGGAAAGAGACACAAACCAGAGGGAATCTACTGGAGGAGGTCAAAGGTGGGAAAATTATTTCCCAGATAAATAGAATGTATGCATGATCTCACAGAATTTTCCCCCAAAGCATTTATAAAGGGAAAAACGTAACCTGACAGTGCAGAAACCTGTCAGATACCACCTTAACCAAGTGATCCAGGTTAACACCACCAATGCTGGGACATATCAACATCACCCCCCACTCACCCCCGCCAATATCATACACTGAGAAGGAAGCACCAACACTTCTGTGATGTGCTTGCCACAAATGCATAACCTCACTCTCATCATGAGAAAATATCAGACAAATCCCAAAGGAGAGACATTCTACAAAAACAACTGATCAGAACTCTTCAAAAGTGAAAGTCACAAAAGACAGGGAGAGACTGAGGAATTATCACAGACTCTTCAAAAGTCAAAGTCACAAAAGACAGGGAGAGATTGAGGAATTATCACAGACATCTACTTAGATGACAACTAAATGTCATGTGTGATTTTGGAGGCTATCCCAGAATGGAAAATGAGTACTTGCAGAAAAACCGGTAAAATGTGAAAAATCACTGTAGCTTAATTAATGGTATTGCACTGCTGACAGTTTCCTGGTTTGACAACTGTACTATGGAGATGTTAACATTTAGGGAAAGTGAGTTAAGGGCATAAGGGAACTCTGTACTATTTTTGCAATTTTTCTGTCAATTTAAAATTAGCTCAAAATCAAAAAGGACAATCAATTCTCAGAGAAAAGAAGAATTGTTTTCAATTATTTGAGGTTAATCCATATTAGAACTAATTATGATGAATTAAAAGATTTCAGAATCTCTGCTGAGAACCTTCCTGAAATGAAAAGGTACGTCTACTCCTTGACCTGTTATGATGTTAGAGCATTTAAAATGAATGAGTTTCTTACTTTCCAGGAATAATTTTTAAGATGAAAATCAAGTCAACACTAAGTTCTTCCTTCACCTAAACAGGCAGCAAAACTGTGGGAAAAGATAAAACACAAACATTGAAAAGTCTTCAGCAGGAAATAAACAGTATTACCCCTTTTTCTTCATTGCCTTCTCTAGGATTTTCTCGTGAGTGGACTTCTCTTTGTCATACTGTGCCACAATTTTGTCAACTTGTGTGCAGTGTAACTTCTGCATGGTACTGTGCTCCTGAAAAGAAGGATTTGTAGTTATGAACTGGACTCTCAGCATGGCTCACACCATATAGGGCTGGCCTAACTTTCACCAGTTTCCCTAGAGTCTTCGTTTAGAAAGTCAAGGAGTAACCGAATCTGAGAATGGTGTAGAGTCCAGCTCTCCCATTAAACACTAGTGTTTTGTCCAAGTGCATTTCCATCATGGAAGTCTCTAGCCTCAGTCTAGTGAACATGCCCAATTCAAAGGCACCCCTGCTCACCAGTGAGTAGTGCCAATCATCTCAAAGTATTTTCTTCCACACATACACATCTCTGTAGAATTTCCACCCATTAATCCTTGTTCTTCTGAGACATGTAATTAGCCTATTGCCCCTTCCACACACTGGTCCTCAAACATGCAAGTTCAGCCACCATGCTTCTTCTCTTGTATATGCTAAATATAACTATTCATCATGTGACATGGTTTGTAAACACCTGCGCATTTTGGAGCTCTTGAATACCATCATTATATAATGAGAGTCACCTCTGTGTTTGTCACTATCAGCTGAATTTGAATTAATTCAGTATAAGTAATTAATTACTTATTACACTGTAATTAGTAATTACTTATTACTTATACAGTGTAATAAGTAATTAATTCACCGTAATAATTAATGTAATAAGTAAGCCACTTAATATTTTCAGTGGCTTACTTATTTAGATGCAGTTTATGAGAATAAAGTGTTCAGGAGCTGTGACCTTCTGTTTTACAGATATTTAAAAATATTTTCCTATCTGCTTCACATAACCACTGAAATTGGGGCTGCAATGCTTTGGAAAGTAGGTATTTCAATATAAACATTATTTCTTCCCATACAATGAGAAAGGCATTTGACTACAGCCAATGACCTATATGAAATCAGATTTCTTTAGCTGTTCAGCCTCCGAAGCACAGATGAAATCAGTACAATCAGAAAGTTCCAACTCTAAATGATACTTGATGTTATAGCCTAATCTTACTCTTGAGAACCAGAGAAATGGGATGCTATTCATGACTAGAATGGGTGAATGTGTTGTTCAGGTTACATAAGCACTTTCACAGTCATATTTCCTTTTACTTATTGAAAAAAATGAGTACCTTAATTTAAAAGCAAATTTATTCTTTCCAAAGTAGGCTTGACTTTAAGCAAATCTAATTCATGAACTTCTTTTAAAGATTTCATAAAATATAAATGGGGAAGGAAATTTTAAGTCTTTACCGAGATTTCCTTAATTTCTCAGCTGTTAAGTGAATTAACACAGGACTTGATCTACAATTCATTTATATATAAATTCTTTAGAAATGTATTCATACACAAGGCCTCAGTATTCTTTTCTTTGGGAGAAGGAGTGGAGGAGGGTGATGCTGGGTAGAAGATTCCCAACATGGGAACTAATGGTGGGGACAAAGGCTATGTGAGCTTGCTGTGGATCTGGGTTTAGGGTAACAATGTCTTGCTTAATTTGTAATTGGAATGCCCCATAAATCCTGCCATATTACCAATGTGTGTGCGCCTTTGTGATATAAACCTATTTCAGCCAGAGCTTCTGCAATGTGGCACTGGGTTAAGGACATGAGTTCTTCTGACCTGGGATGAGCCGCTTACCCTTCCAGAGTCTGCTCATCTTTATAATTGGGAGAGTAACACTTACTTCATAGAGTTGTTAGGATTAAAAGTAAATCTAATGTAAATCACGTTTCAAATGCGTGTTACAGTTTATTCAAAACGTAGTGATAAACAAACCTATCTATACTATTCAATACCCGTAACAACATACAGGAGTGACTTGAGATAGAGATATCAATCAGACTAATTAAATCAATAGATCTTTCCTCCAAGCTTAATCTACTGCCCCAGGAATAGAGGAACACATTGATGTATCCCCGAATGTATTTAACTACTCTTGTAATACCTTGGTACCTACTAAAATGCCTTCCTCCTATTTTCTGTCTAAGATTTAGAAGTATTATGGTTGGCTAACACATGTTAATTTTACCTGGGCAAAAAAATAATAAATAAGGGGCTTTATGCCAGTCTCAAAATGTATCAGAAGTGCCACAGTCCTATATTATCTTGCAAATATCATTGAAAAGAGGCTGAAGACTATTTATTTAAATATTTTAGTGTAGAACAGGATAAGTAGAGCCTTTGAGGCTTGAAAGTAAACTGACACAGATTATTTCCTAAGAAAATATTTTGGTGAACCTTATTAACTCAATTAGATATGAGAAATGGGGCTGTTTGTACCATAAAGTTGTTTATGATTGACTCAACTCTATATGATATGCTCTACAAGGGCAGGGCCAGTCTTTTCTGTTTACCAGTACATGGCACAAAGCCTGGTACGAAGTAGATGCTCAATAAGTAATTACTGCATGAACAAAAAGTCAGCATGGGAAAATAGCAAAAGGACTTGGATTCCGGTCCCAGCTCAGCCAATAATTAACCAACTGGCCTTGGGTAATGTATATAAATCTTTTTAGGCCTCAATGTCTTTATTAGAAAATTGAGTTAGGGCTGGGCATGGGGTAGCCCATGCCAATAGCACTTTGGGAGACTGAGGCGGGCAGATCATCTGAGGTCAGGGGTTGAAGATTAGCCTGGCCAACACGGCAAAAACCTGTCTCTACTAAAAATACAAAACTTAGCTGGGTGTGGTGGTACATGCCTGTAATCCCAGCTACTCTGGAGGCTTAGGCAGGAGAATCACTTGAACCCAGGAGGCAGAGGTTGCAGTGAGCCGAAACTGCGCCACCGAACTTCAGCCTGGTGATAGAGTAAGACTCCATCTCAACAAAAAAAAAAAAAAAAAAAAACAAAACAAAACAAGAAAACTGAGTTAGGTACCTTTGCCTAAGCTAATTCATGAGTTGCTTATGAGATGCAAGGTTACCTAACGTATCCAGAAATAATTTGAAAAACTGAAAGCATATTGAAATAAAATGATTGCAATTAATGTCAGTAACAGAAAAGCTGGTCCTGAAAAATTGTCTCTGTTTATCTTTGTTCTCAGAACTCCATCCCTGTGCGGTAAGCAGTGATCGCTGAAGTGTTTTGGGATAACTTGGTTTCCAGACACCATTTCTCCTTTTGGAAACAAATGGGGATCCTAATTACTGATTTCCATGTAACTCTGCTGAAGCCTCAGCTTCTTGTTCTATAAAATGAAGGAGGCACAAAATGATCTCTAAGTCCGTCTTAGCTTTTAAAAAAAGTCCATCATTGATTTTATTCTTTTGGTCCTTAGTTAAATCATGAAACACTATGGAGGAGACATACATTTGTTATTCATTCACACCACAAGTACCATAATTAAATGTGTTGACTTAAAGTCAATCTTAATTGGGACATTTTGGGGGAAAAATGTAGAGCTTTTAGCAGAATTTGTATATGTTTCTTAACCAAGTTAAGGGTAAATTCAGCTCTTTTGGGAAAAACTGCTGCTGCAATTCATTCTTGTGACTGATGTGACTATGGGCGTGAATGATCGCACCTCACAGAGTGCTGAAAATTTTGAGTAAATCATGATTGCTCAGCATGTAACTTTGAGATTACCAGCAACTGCCGTGTCTTTGCCGCTTTCCACTGCATAACCAAGTTACAGGTCTGGTTCTAAGGTCTGACCATGAGTTAAAATTGATGAGTTAAACAGCAGTCTTGGTGCTGTCAGCTACATTGCTTGCATAGCAAAGAGAAAATTTTCCATCAGTAGCTTTACTAAAAATGCCAGTTTATAGGCTTCTCAGGCATTTTATTTGACTCATTTAATGTTGATGCTGCAAACTGGTGGCCTAAGGACTGTATCCAGCCTGCAGATACAGTTTTTAGTTTAGTTACTTTTTCTTTCTTTTTTTTTTTTTTTTGCCTACATGGTTTCAAAAAGAGGTTGAATTAAAGGCCGATAGTAAAAGATCAGGAAATTCAGATAAGATTTCTGATATTTTGACTCTCCTTTAAGAAAACACAGATGGCCCATCTACTCTCCAGGCACCAATGAGGGTAGCTCAGTCTGACTTGGCCTGTGGAGAGAGATGAGCGCTCCCAGTTTTTGTGGAGTCAACACCTGGCCAACTTCCCTCAGCTACTTCCTGTTTGGCCCCCATGGGCATTTGAACTGTAATTCCTCTTCTAACATGTTACTGGAGATACGTATCCAACTTTGGGTTTTACATTTTTTCCTCCAAGAAATTGACCTCATTGGACAATTGAAAAGCATGCCTGTCTTTTAATGAAAGCAGCTGCTGCTCTGGATCCCAATGAGTCATGTGCTGGGGGAGAAATAGTTAATTAGTTCTCCTTTTTCTGTGTCTCATATAATAGACACTTGAAAACCATTACCCGAGTTTCTATTTCAAATTGAAGAAGTGGTTCTAGAAAGTGAGAGACAAGTAGATGTCTGATTGCCAGTACATTCAGAGGGTTGAAGGAGTTGACCATTGCCATTTTCCAAAAATAGCCATCTTAATGGGCATTTTTGTATCCATTTGGGGTGTAAATGGTCATTATCCCCAACTTTTTTTCTCAATTTCCTAATAGCAAATCACACACCTATTTGCAGATGGCAGAACCTCATATTCATACCACTGTTCCTTTTCTATCTGGTAGCTAACCTGTAAGTTTGGAAATAAGCTGTCCTTGGGACCATACATTTATTTCTTAAACTGCTGAGATTTAGTTCATAGATCCTCTGCTTCCCTTTGAGTCTAAAAAGTAGAATTATTTATCTAGGCCAGGAGTGTCCAATCTTTTGGCTTCCTTGGGCCCCACTGGAAGAAGAATTGTCTGGGGCCACACATGAAACACTAACACGAATGATAGCCAATGAGCTTAAAAAAAAAAAGTTCTGTGCATAAATCTCATAATGTTTTAAGAAAGTTTACAAATTTGTGTTGGGCTGTATTCAAAGCTGTCCTAAGCTGCATGTAGCCTGGGGCTGCAGGTTGGACAAGCTTGATCTAGGCTGATATGTAAAAGCTGAGATCTCCCTGCAGTTGCTGGATATAGACTAAATACTAGTCCCTGCTCTTAGCTACCAAGTGCTGTTTGGGCCAGGGGCACAGTAGTAGGGAGAGTGAAGTCCAGGCCATATTTCTTCTTCAGCAGGTCATTTTATAACATAAGGCTTTAGGGTGGTAAGCCTTAGACCCACGTTGGGTGAGTGAAAACTATTATAAAACAGAAAGGATGGGGGAATTAATTCTCATTATTATGTGACAACAGGGTAAAATCTCTTTTTCTTTAAGGAGGCTTGATAAGTATATTTAAAAAACAGTGCTCAAAATTTAGCATGCATAGGAGAGGACTTTATTTAAAATGTATTTCCTATGCTCTTTTCTTGGGGATGATAGCTAAGTGTCATGTAGGCACAAATACATATTTTTGTAAAGCCTCCATCTCTTGGCCCAATGATCTTATGTTGAAAAACGAGTCCTGAAGGAACCCAAGATATTTGTGCCCTGATAGATTCATGATTGCTCTTAAAAAACCTGTTACTGAGACCATAAGGAAAAAGATGTATGAAGAGAAGAAAACTTTAGTGGGGAAACATCAGAGGCAGCTGGTTACAAGTTTGAGTTCTCAAGTCAGGCTGAATTTGGTTCAAATCCTGGCTCTATCATTTAAAAACTAGGTGATTTAATGAAGTTGTATTTTTTTTTAAAGTATGAATAAGTTAATCTGTTGAATGACTGGTAGAATATAAAAATGGCCAAAATAATTTCCCTTTCTGTATCCACTCCCACTTCTGATGTAACTTTGTCACCTGTCAAAAGGTAGAGTCCTTATAAGGCCAGACTTAGAACTTGTTTTGGCCAAAAAAATGAGGTGGAAGTGATGGTGTGTCTGTTCTGAGCTGGGACCACAAGAAACCATGCATGACCTGCTTGGTCTTTTGGGACCCCAGCCATGTGAACACATCTGGACTAGCCTGCTGGAAGAAGACAGGAGGCCACATAAAGCAGAGAGGAAGTGGTTTAGCAGAGGCCTTTCTAAAACGGTCAGTCCCCCATCTGCCGACCAAACTGGTAGTGATGACAGATTCATGAGTGAATCCAGCCGAGACCAGAAGAATCACTCAGCAGCTGGAACCCAGCTCCAACTGCTGATGCACAAAATTGTGAGCCAAATCAATGGTCATTATTTTAAGACACTACATCTTAGGCTGGTTTGTTACCCTGCAAAATCTAACAGATACAAAGCTCATATAATTATAGTACTCCTTTATATAATTGTTATGAGAATACCTAAGAATATGTGCTTAAGCAAGTATCAATATGTATAAGCTAGTGTTGCCACTTAAGTGTTGACTGACAGAAAAATTAGTCACATGGAGATCAGGCATGAAGTATGTCCAATGGTAATAGATTCACCACATTGCTCGCCTCTCCTTAACCGGTTTTTCATTTTTCAGTTTTAAAGACAACATGTTGGTGATGGTGGTGTTGTTTTCAAGACAGAGTCTTGCTCTTGTCACCCAGGCTAAAGTGCTGTGGCATGATCTCAGCTCACTGCAACCTCCACCTCCTGGGTTCCAGCAACTCTCCTGCTTCAGCCTCTCAAGTAGCTGGGACTACAGGCATGTGCCAACCCACCCGGCTAATTTTTGTATTTTTAGTAGAGACAAGATTTTGCCACGTTGGCCAAGCTGGTCTCGAACTCCTGACCTCAGGTGATCCACCTGCCTTGGCCTCCCAAAGTGCTGAGATTACAAGCGTGAATCACCGTGCCCGGCCTAAATACAACATGTTAATAGAGATGGCCTCGTTATATATTCGGCAAATATATATTCATTATATTCATTATATATTCACTATATTCTTCATCTGAGAGGTTAGCTTGGGCCAGGCATAGTGGCTCGAGGAAGCTAATGAACAACTTTGATGTAGGTTGAGTTCTAAACATTGAGGACCAACCTTCCTTAGTAACAATTCTGATAACCAGCAGCATATCAACACTGTCCAAAGTTGATAGTGATTTTCCCAAATGTCCCATGTGCTGTCACTATATTTGACCCAGGGACGAACTAGTCCACTTAGTAAAGCATCCCATATCCTACACAGGAGAATGCTGCAAGAGTATGGATTCTGGACTCTTGATTTTGGTTCAAATACCAGCTCTGCAGCTCCCTAACTCTGGGACATCAGATAACTTCAATAATTCTTAATTCCCTCACAGGTAAATAGAGACTCACATAGAATTTACCTTACAGGGTAGAGAGTGTTAAATGAGTCAATGCATGTAAAGTGCTGAGCACAGCATCTGAGAATTACTGAGCATGCAGGAATTCTAGCGGCTATTTTTGTTGCTATTATTACCATCCACCACAGCATATTATTTTCTGGTCATGCCTCAAGAAAATATTAAATGAAGCCAAAATCTTTATGTTTCCAACTAGCCCAAAGGCCACTGAGGTGTCTGCTCAATGAAAGTGATCCAACTTAAATGCAAGAAAAATTTGTTAGATAGTGCTCCAGCATAGGGGTACCGACTCTATTTCTAATAATTAAAGTTAGTTAAGGTGCTTTCTCTCTTATTTCCCATTCTTACTCTTTTTCTGTTGGTTTTCCACAGTTCAGCCTGTTGTCAATAACCAACAACACTGAAGTCCCTACTTTAAATTGTTCTGTCTCCAATAATCCCACTGAGCAATGTAAGGAATTTCACTGAATGGAATTATTCATGAAACTTAGAAACGAACAGTCTTTGAAGTGAAGTGACTGTATCAGCAAATCCATTGAGCCATCAGTTCAATAATGCAAGGAACACTACTAGGATAAGATTAGGCCCAACTTCTCAAAGGAGTACAAACTTTTAAAGAAATGACAGGGTTCCAGACAATGCTCGGGCATCTCAACATGTGGAATGATTAAAAGGTACATCACCCAAGCCAAGTTCTGAAGGACATGCTTTGGTTTGAGGCTTGGGTCAGAGAATAAAGAAGCAGGAATGCAAGATTAGTTTAAAAGAATTCAGTTCTTCCCAATTAATAAATTACAGATTAAGTTTCTTTTGCTCTCATTGCCCTTACTGGAAGAGGACAGACATTATCCTACCAGCAGTACCTGGTTGTTATACGTCTTTAGGAAAGAAAGGGTTGCTTTTCCTTTTCTTTTTTTTTTTTTTTTTTGAGAAAGAGTCTAGCTCTGTTGTCCAGGCTGGAGTGCAATGGCATGATCTCGGCTCATTGCAATCTCTGCCTCCCAGGTTCAAGCAATTCTCCTGCCTCAGGCTTCCGAATAGCTGGGATTACAGGCACGTGCCAACACGCCCAGTTAATTGTTGTATTTTTTGTAGAGATGGGGTTTCATCATGCTGGCCAGGCTCATCTCAAACTCCCAACCTCATGATCCACCCGCCTCAGCCTCCCAAAGTGCTAGGATTATGGGGGCAGCCACCAGCCCGGCCGCTACCCTTTTCTTCTTTATCTGTGAGGGAGTCTGGAAATGATGATGTTTGAGTGCTGTGAAGTTTTACAACCCACAGGAGAATTCCTGGGGCCACCTCCTGCTGTTCTCTTACAATGCAACTAGCTCTTATAATTTTTCACAATCACTGCCAAAAAGACCACCTCTTATGGGCAAAAAGCAAAAATAAATCTATTTCAGAAGTAGGCTACTGGGCAAGGTTTATGTAAGGTAGAAAAAGTGACAAGCATTCTCTCTCTAGGTGCCATGAGTGGGAGGTGCTAGCATCTCCCTCCGTAAACCACTGTGTACGGCAACCTATGTGACAGTGACTTGGCAGTTTAGGTAATTAGTGGCTACAATTGTGAGTTGGTCTTTAATAGACTATGATCCAATATTTTATATAGTCATGTTATCAGTGAAACAATTTTTAAATGGATGAAGCTTTGTGCATTTGAAAGAACTGTTAGAAATGAAGACCACAAACCAGTGACAAGCACTCCCAAACAGACTCTATTTCTTAATTTCATTGTTAACTAGTTAGAATGAATTATTGCTGTTAAGTGGTCTGGTATCAGCATCAAAGTTGTGTTTTTGGCTATAAATGATTCATCCATATATAACACAAAATAGTAGCTTTTAAACACTATACCTTTGCATGTTTCTTCTTTAAAGAATTTAGCTCCTTCTGCTGTTTCTTTAAATGCTTCAAGTAAGCCTTTGGAGAAAAAGAGAATCAAAAATAGGGTTTTTTTTTTCTTTCTTTTTTTTGTAACCATAATGATTACACTTGGTGAGAAACAAAGATATATTGGTGACACCAATATGTATAATACAAGAGTGCTTGCAAAGCAGTCAAGCAATTTTACCTTCATCTGCTTTAAATCTTCTATCCTTATTTGAGGGATAAGTTCTATACCTTAAAAAAAAAAAAACAATTAAGTCACTACATATACTAAAAATTAGAACAACTGATAATATAGAATTGACATAATGAAATCTCATGGAAAGACCCTGAAGCAGCTTTACATGTGATGAATATAAACATCTTAAGTTCCTATTACAAAGCAATTAACTGGACATTTGAAATGCTGAATAGACATGTGCATGTGATTGATTGAGGACAGACTCTCAGGTGAAACCCCTGAGGGAGTAAAAGAAGCGGAGTGGATCAATGGAAGAAAGTAGAGTGTGTTTCTAGTTGAAATCCAGCCTCAGTCTGATGCTACACGGAGCACTTCAGTATAAACGGCACCCAAGAGTCCTATCTTGGTGAAAAGAGGCTGGGCTTTTGTAACCCTTGATCAGTCAGCTGAGAGCTACAGAGGTTTCACAAAACCTTTCAGGCATTTCCAGGCAAGGGAACTCTCATGGTCCCAAGGCAATTCTCTGGAGAAGAGCAGCTGAAATGCCCAATCAGTCAAAATTCATAGGAGCTGGGAGATGGGTAGTGACCCAACAAAGGGGAGCTGATCAGACACAAAACCATCTATTACAGTTACTCTTACCTTTGTATTTCAAGGCATAGCATACCAGTCAACTAATTCCCAACTCTATTCTCAATTTAGTCATCATCAAAGAATAAAACGTTTTTCTGGCTTCTCCCTTTTGCCAAATTCAATCTTCACATTTAAGAAATGTGCTACTAAGCATAGCAATGCCTTAAACATAAGGAATAAACAACACAAAATAAAACCAGTGTATAACAGGAGGCTACCGGGAGGGGCTACAGCAATATAAGAAGTCACCCTGCTATCTGAGTGATGCCAGGCCAGGTGTTGTCATGGCAACCACAGTTGTAGCCAGATCCTCAAACAGTTCCTGTTTGACTGCAGATTTTCATCTTAGGCAAACAAAATGAATGTGCGCTCTGTGCCATAATTGATTTCCATTAGAGTCCCAAAGGCTATGTATGATGTATTCAAGAAAGATAGGCATCAAGTCCCAGGCTCTTGTTTTTTCCTTTTATTCATTTTAAGATGTGCACATTCAATGACAGGGTGGTCAGGCCACAGAAGGAAAGTTTTGGATGGTGGAAATCAGCCTTGTGATCCATAACATTTTATAATCAGGGTGTGAAGCGTCCATGGGGCTCTCCAGTGATCTCCTAAGTCGGTTTTCACAAGCTATCTCCCTAGTGACTGAGGCAGGGTAAGACAAGGGAGTGACTCCTGGCACACAAAGAGCTCCCTGTCTTTAGGTCTCAGCTGTCTTGTTTGTAAAATGAATATACAGGATTTGGGGAGTGTGCACAGTCCTTCAGAGATGTAGCAAATTCTAAGAGTTTGACCCAATCTGATGAAAATTTCTCTCTCTCTCTAATTTTTAGGCTACTTTTTTGGTCTTGGTTCAACTACGTCTTGATTAAAAGAAACCTACAAAAACATTAACTTCCCTCGATTACCTGGTTTTACGTTTTTGGAGAAAGACAAAATTAGAAAAAATTGTCGTTCCCATAAGTGATTTAGTTAGAGAAAAACCCACACTCTGCAGAAAATGACAGTTTTACCTGCGTGCCAAGGCCAGCCTTCCTTATAGAGCTTTGCATAATAATGGGAATGTTCCATGTGTGGGGCTGTCCAGCTGACAGCCTCTAGCCACCTGTGGCTCTTGAGTACCTGAAATGTGGCTAGTGTGAATGAGGAACTCAAGGTTTAGCTTTTAAGTTAATTGTTAAATAAATTTAAATAGTCCCATATGGTTAGTGCCTACTACATAGGACTGTGCAGATCTACAGACTTCCCTGGTTTGAAAGTAGGTTAAGCAGCACATTTTGGGCTCCAAAGATTTTGGCTAATTGAAGTTTCACTACATAAAGTTTTTGTTCATATCAGCATAGTTCCTGAACAATAACTTGTTTCCTCATAATCACTAATCTGGAAGTTAGGAGCTGGGTTTTCTTAATCCTTCGTTCTTAAAATCAAAAAGAAAATAAAGTTGTGTTGGTGCAATCGTTGCTGTTTGGCTGCATGTCTAAGAAAAACAGTTTGGAATTTCATATCTCCCCACCTTCATAGATGTCAGTAGCAAACGCTGTCTGCTTCAGCCCCATACCATGCCCTCTCTACATCAGCTCTTCTGGCTCACTTCCAATTGCCAACATCTGAATGTCTTTGCCTGAGGACTTTTCTGACCTCCAAAACAGACAGGGTGCTTTATCACCCTGTTGTCAATCTAGAACTGTTGAAAAATTTATCCCTTCCATGGGAATCCTCAAGAAAAGGCTGACAGGAGTCGGGGTATACATTCCCCAGCTCCCTCATCTCTCTAAGAGGAGACCTCTGAGATGTGCATCCAATACCAGCCCCCAAGGTTTCTCCAGGGCATTAAGTTCCAGGCGCCTCCTGGCAACTGGCTTCAAAACATTCCAATTACTGGCTGCCTTCCCTCCCTGGGATCACTTCTTCACACCTCTACCCATGACCACTGTACACCAGAATAAACTACTTGCACTGGAAACCTTCTCTCAGGGTCTGCTTTGAGGTGACCCAGATCAAGACAGTTTTCTGGGAAGAAATGGAAGCTTGTTTTCTCAAATGACATCTTTTCCTCCAAAGGCTTCTGGAGTAGAGTTTATTCCCCACCCCACCCCAATCCATGGAGAGGTGTGAGAACAACTACAGATTTATCTCTTGTACTTCCATGCCATTCTCCTAAAAGCTATCATACAAAAGAACAGGCCTCTCACTTACACCAGGCTCTGCTGAGCCTAGCTACTTCCACATGTGTCCTTCTAGGTCACGCACTGCCCTGCTCCACGAACTTCAGCATCTGACTTGTGGTTTCTCTATGAAGGCATTCCTAGACATTCAACACAGTGATTCAATATGAATGAGAAGAATATGCTGGGTGATTTTCCTTTCCATTTCCACGACGCCTTCCATTCTAGAAATCTTCATCTCCATTTTACCTCCCCTCCTACTGACAGTTGTAAATGGGATGTTAACACTGCTTGAAACTGCCCCTCCTCCAAGACATGTAGTTTAGTGGTACCTGATTCTGACTGCAATCTCCATCCTGCCAGCTTCACTTACTCCCTCACACCTACCAGGTAAGCCTTTTACTTTCATCTTGTTCCTGGTTCCCTTTAACCTTTTCCTTTCTTAGCAAAGTCTCTCTCCTCTAGTATCTACTCCACTGGGACACTAACCTATATATTATGATCAGGGTGGCAGATTGAGTGGAAAAATGGCCAAAAAGTTCCACCCCTCCCTGTTTCCACACCTACTTACACGTGACTTTGGAACTCTTCCCATCAAGATGTGGAATCTGTTTCCCCAACTCTTGAATCTGGGCTGGGCCATGTGACTTGCTTGGGATGATGGAATGTAGTAGAAAGGAAGCCATGCCAGTTCTAAGTCTAGGACTCATCAAGGAAGCTGACATACAGATTCTCCCCAACTTACAGAGGTTCAACTTTATGATGATGCAAAAGTGATACACATTCAGTAGAAAGCATATGTTGAATTCTGAATTTTGATCTTTTCCTGAGCTAGGGATAGGCTCTGGGGCCACAGCGAGCCTCAGCTCCCATTCAGCCATATACTCTACAATGTACTGCATTTAATAAGTTACATAAAATATTTAACACTTTATTATAAAATAGGCTTTGTGTTAGATGATTTTGCGCAACTTTAGACTAATGTAAATGTTCTGAGCACATTTAAGATAGGCTAGGCTAAGTTAAGCTATGATGTTTGGTAGCTTAGGGATTAAATATATTTTTGACTTAATGATATATGTTCAGCTTGTGAGGATATAACTCTTCCATAAGTCAAGGAGCATTTGTACTTCCACCTCCATTTTAGAACATTGCAACTACCATGTGAACAGGCCCAGGCTAAGCCGATAAAAGATGAGAGTCCATAAGGAAGACAGCCAACTTGTCCCAGCCAATGATACCTTAGCTCAACCTCAAACATTTGAATGAGCATAGCCAAGATCAGCTGAGTCACTGATACTAACCCATCTATAACCAGAAAAGCCACCCAAACGACCTCGTGAGCTATAATAGATGCTTACTTATTTAAGTTACTGACTTTTGGAATTGCTTGTTACACAGCAATAGCTAACTGTTATAGTCTCATAACTTAATGCTCTTCAATCCTTTGGTTCCAGACCATACTCATTATGACATATTATGACATACACATTATGACAATTTCAGGCTTGGAACTTCCTAAGCTTTGTCCATCCTTAGTGAGCTTCTGGGTACTGCTGAAGAAGTAGTGAGATCAAGCTACATCAACTTAATACATACCACTAGCACACACCAGAATCATGTGTGCTATGTGGCAGACCTTCTCTTTATTTCTTGTGGATTGTTCTAGTCTAGCCAGAGACAACTCCAAAGCTTTTCTATACTGTTATTTTTCTGTCCTGCCTCTACCTTTCTCAGCAGAGAGCAGCCACCTAACCAACTTCTTAGATCAGATGGAATCTGTGATACACTACAAAATGGCCAATATTTCTTTCCCCTCTAATCAAGAGGTAGAGTCTATTTCTCTATCCCTTGAATATTGGTTCACTTTGTGACCTGCTATGGCCAATGCGACACTAGCAGAGGCTGAAAAAAAGCTGCTTTAAACTCAGGGAGTACCATATGAATAAGCCTGCTTAGGCTTCAGGATGTTGTGAAACAGCTTGCCAAATGACAGATGTGTGTATAAGGTCATCCCACATCTACCTTCCAGTCAACCCAACAGCTGATCACAGGTGCATAAGCAAGACACAGAAATTAGCCAAACCAGCTTGGACCAACCAACCCAATGAAACATGATCTCAATAAATGGTGGTTATCTTAAGCTACTAAAATTTGAGGTCATTTGTTATGCAGCATAAGCTGACTGATACACTGTCAGAATTCTTCCTGTCCACTCTGAAACTTCTATTTACTCATCATTCTTCTTGACTCTTCCTTCCTTATTCAGCAGAATTTCACCCTTTCTGTTGATTCAGATCTTCCTTATAGCCTTGTTTTACCATGTACTCTCTTTTGCATTTTCCTTGTTTCTCTTTATTAGTTCCTACCAACAAGCTATTGTCCTCCAGAACCACCATTTTATGTCTTAAATTATGTCTCACATTTTTCTAATCATGTTTCAGCCCTCATCATCCAATCATCCCTGGTTCAACAATAATTTTGTAGTCTTCACATCTCTGGACCTATCTACAACATCTTCTCAAAACTAATTCTTCTTAGAACACAGACCTCTCTTTTTCCTTTTTCCCCATTCATTCTGCCTTCTAAGTGTAATTATTCTATTTCTCTATCTCTCTTTATTCTTCACCTGGCATAGATCTGGTAATTGCATATTTCTACCCAGATGTATCAGCAACAGCTTGACCTCAGTGATGTCCAGGACCAAAATCATCTTCCTTACCAAAAGCAGCTCCTCCTCCTAACTCCTCTACTTCTCTCAATGGTACTGTCTATCTCTGGGTTTTCTTTCCTTGAAGTCTGAGTTACTACAAAGTCTCTTTCTACCTAAGGCCCATATCTAAGCTGCCAACTTATTTCCAGTCTTCTTTCCCTTTGATAATTTCCAGCTTAATCTAGACTTCCTTGTCCAAGTCATTCATTAAACAGCCCTTCCTGAGAATACAGTCTACTAGATCTTAAATAGGCATGGTTCCAGGGACACAGTGATGATGAGGTGTGGTCTCACCTGCAATAACCTCTTCTTTGGTTGTTAATATTCTATCAACACAATATGATAGGTGTGTTATAACAGAAGCATGAGTATCATAATTCTTACCTTGCCCTTAGCATGTCCACTTTCAATGAATTCTTTTGCCAAGACTATAATTTTCTTAAAATACTCCTTTGACTGTCATTTCCCATGACCTTCTCACGGTGACCCCAGATTCTTTCAAGCCCAGGAAAAATAAACTCCTTGCTACTCCCTATCAGAATTCTCCTTCCACTGAGGTTGCTTCTTATCTTCTTTCCTTCTAGGCAGCCTTCTTTGGGTTCCTTCGCTCTCTCCTCCATTCAAGTTAGACCAGGTTTCAAATCCCAGCTCGGGTGGGATCTTATCCTTGAGTATCCTCTGGGATTCTTGCTGGAAAGGATGCCCACTCCCCTCTGGTTCCTGAACCCTCACTGTATACTGCTTGGTTGGCCGTGTAGTGGGGCCTGTCTTGTCTCACTTCTGTCCCAACTTTGGTTATGTGAGTTCCCTGAAGGTTGGTAGGCAGTTCTTATAGAATCTAGTACTGTGACGTAGACTTCCAAGTCTCCTGAATAAAATGCCCAAATGAAACAGCACGTAGACCCTTTTTGAGGGCATCAGCAGAAGAGACTAGAGTGGAGGTGACAGTTGCTTGGCTCTTTCAAATGCAGCCTTTTTTGGAATCAGGGGTGGGGCAGCACTAATCACATGCATAGTCTCTTCTACAGCTAGGATCACTTTTGTCCTCTGCAGGCTGGTCACACTGCATTGTTGCTCAGGACGCCTAATGCAATATTATTACTAACGTCTTTTATGTACCAGTGGGTGTGATACAAGAACTTTACCTACACATCAACTTGCTCACTTTCCAGTGCCTCTCTCTGAGTGGCTGGTGTTCCTAATGACCAGGCCAGTAGGGAACGCCCAAAGCCTGTATCATTACCTTGCTCTGTGTTGTCTCAAGAGAAAAACAAACAGCTGCAGGTCAAGTACAAATTGGGCTGCTTTTGTCCAGTCCCATTTTTCTAATTTGCTTCATAAGGCTCAATGCACATTTAGTTTCCTGCTAAATTACAATGCTGCTGTGGTTTGGAAAGCCTGGCATATCTTACCTTAAACTGTAGCACTGTGTGTACTTAAGTGTATGAACAACTTTATTTCAAACTTAGATTGGAAACTCTAAATTCACATATAGATGGGAACTACAAATACTGAGTAAAAAAAATTAGGAGAAAGATAAATTATTATTAATGTAGTGAGTTTAGTAAACAATTCATGTTCAAGAAAGATATTTACATTGTTTATAAATTTAATTACCAGTATGGAATGGGCACCATCTAATTAATGGATGTCTGGCCAATTAGAGTGAAAGCCAATTAAAATAACCAGCACAGTTGTTTCTCTACATACTGGCTGAACATGAGACACATGCTTCTTTGAGATGACACCTCTTAATGATGTTTTGTTTCATCCACAGGTAACCATAAGGAATTCGCCTCCAAGTGCTCATTTGATAATTATACAAATAAATAATCATGGTGCTAAACATCTACTTATGGGGGGAAATTATCAGTAGGGGAATTTAGAAATGTCCAATAGTGATAACTCTTGGTTCATGAGCCCACTGCCTGTCCAGACAAGAGCCTATGGGAGAATCTGGAACAGAGTGGGGATGGATTAGCTAACATCACTGTGTAAAAGGTTCTTTCCCACAAAGAACTTCGAATTTATATATTTCCTAAAGCTATAGATACTGTGCCCTGTGCAATTAAGGTGGGTGCAGAAGATAACGAGCCCATTGGCTCTCTCTCACCTTTCTTGGCTTCCACACCAGAGGCCAGGGCAGCTGTGGTGGTTGGTCTGAGCTCGGAGCTACTCTGAGGGGTCACATTTGCTTTGGCGGTGTTGGCCTTTCCTTTCTTGTCATTTTTGGAAGTGTCACTGGGCACATCGGCTATGTCACTCTGGAATAGAAACATTTACATTGACCCAAATGAAGGTCACTCAAGGCCAAATATCTTGCACATTCTTTATTTTACTGAATCTAGTTGGTACCACTCAACTTCTCCCATACCTTTCCTAGACTTCTACTCTCTTAAAGATCTTTGCCTAGCAGGACTAAAAATTATGTGGTTTCTTTAGGCTTGAGGCAAAGGATCCAGCCAAGGAAAGAAGATCCAACTTTTTAACAAGCAGAGAACACTTTCTCTTTTTCTAGCTATTGGAGAGATGCTACATTCATTCCAAACTGAGGAGTTTGGTGAAGAAAACATTTAAAAACAAAGGAACAACCCAAGTGTGCACTGGAATGGGAGAAGGCTGGGATGCAAGGCTGGCAAACAGTAAAAAATCAATAATAAATGCCATTTTGGCTGGTGCCAGTATTGGCATGGTGGTTCACACCAGCAATAAATGCCAGTATTGTCATGGTGGCTCATGCCAGTAATTTCAATGCTTTGGCAGGTCAAGTGGGAGGATTGCTTGAGGCCAAGAGTTTGACACCAGACTAGGCAACAGAGCAAGACCCTGTCTCGACAAAAAAAAGTAAAAACTTAGCCAGGCACAGTGGCATGCATCTTTAGTCCCAACTGCTCATGAAGCTGAGGTCGGGGGATGGCTTGAACCCAGGAGTTCAAGGTATGATCACACTACTGCACTCCAGCCTGGGCAATAGAGCAAGATACTATCTGTTAAAAAAATAAACAATTGGCTGGGCGTGGTGGCTCACGCCTGTAATCCCAGCACTTTGGGAGGCTGAGGCGGGTGGATCACGAGGTCAAGAGATCGAGACCATCCTGGTCAACATGGTGAAACCCCGTCTCTACTAAAAATACAAAAAATCAGCTGGCCATGGTAGCGCATGCCTGTAATCCCAGCTACTCAGGAGGCTGAGGCAGGAGAATTGCCTGAACCCAGGAGGCGGAGGTTGCGGTGAGCCGAGATCGTGCCATTGCACTCCAGCCTGGGCAACAAGAGTGAAACTCTGTCTCAAAAAAAAAAATAAATAAATAAATAAAAAATAAATAATAAACAATTAAAAATAAAAAGAATTATCATTAATTCACTGAACTGGGTTAACTGGTATTTCAGTGTATCACAGAAACATCCTGTTTCTGTTTGAATATCCCTTATCTGAAATGCTTGGGACCAGAAATGTTTCCGATATCAGATTTGGGGATATTTGCATATACATAATGAGGTATCTTAGGGATGGAACCCAAGTCTAAACAGAAAATTCATTTATGTTTCATATACATCTTCTACACAGCCTTTACACAATATTTTTAGTAATTTTGTACATGAAAGTTTGTATACACTGAACCTTCAAAAAGCAAAGGGATGACTATCTCAGGTCAGCATTCAAAAAGTTTTGAATTTTGGAGCATTTCAGATTTTGGATTTTCTGATTAGAAATGCTCTACTTACATTAAAACCTTCCTAAAAGCATCACAAATGGTTTTTCATTTTGTTTCTAATGGGGAAAGGGTCCCCTGATGTGCGTTAAGCCACTGATGATGAAGTGGGTTTTTCTGATGGCAGTCACATTTTATTAAACATGCTGCACTTTTGTAGACCCTTGAAACTATTGTTGAGTTGATGGGCTCAGTTTTTAAAACCCTCTTTTAACTTGCTAATTCATTACTTTATCTTGCTTTTGTAATCACTGTTGGACAATCAAACTCCCACAACTTGGCCATCTTTAATCAACCATTTCTACTTACGGTTTCAATGCCCATAGCTCTCATTTGGTCTGCTCTCTTTTCCGTAATTGAGAGAAATTTCTTTGGATCTGATAAAGCATCCACAATATCTAAGGGGGAAAAAAACCATTGAGCTGTTAATTCTCTGTTTTACTGAAAATATTCAAGAAAACTTTGCTCAATAAACTACAGTCTGGACAACTGTTGTGCTTTCTGTTAACAATCTTTTCCTAGGACATAAACACACTGAGGAAGGCACAGTTAGTTGCAGAAACCAAGAAAGGAGTAAAAGCAAGGGCCAAAGACCAGATGATTTTTTTTATTGCCCCCTTTTTCCATTTAGTTTTTCCCTGTATGAAGGAGGCAGGGTGTCAGGACAAACCAAGTGCAGTGCTGTGGATTCTTGACTGTTTTTTCACTTGTGTGTGACTTTCAACAAGTTAATTAATGTCCCCAGCCTCAGTTTCTTTATCTGGAAATTAGGGTGGATACCACCTGCCCTGCAGAATCATCATAATACTTCAATGAGATGACGAATGTGAAAAGTACCTGAGGCATGGAGGTCTTATTTTTCCATACAGAGGATAATATATATTCAAAGCCAATTTTGGTTCCATGGTAGACAAATGAAATCTTTCTCTAGGGTTTCCCAAGTATAACTTGAATTTACAAAAAAGTAAAATTTCATATTTATATTAATGTCATTTGAAGAGTTCCAAGTACTTTCAGAGTTTCATATGACTGTGTACAATTTACTCATAGTATTAAAGGCATAATTATTCTTGCTAACTTGAAGCCCTCCACAATTTATACATTTTAAATACTGTGTAAGTTTATAAAGTTTTCCCTAACAGAATCACCTTCCTAATTACAATCTTAAGATAATTCTTAAGATAACCTTCTCAGTATACAGGACACATAATTCTCTCAGTTTCAGTTTTTTCTTTTCAATTTTATAACGGAAAATAACATCTGCACATGGTTGGGCCGGCACAGTGGCTCACGCCTGTAATCCCAGCATTTTGGGAGGTCGAGACAAAGTGGATCACTTGAGGTCACAAGTTCGAGACCAGCCTGGGCAACATGGTGAAACCCTGTCTCTACTAAAAATACAAAAATTAGCTGGGTGTGTTGGCAAGATTACTTTTAGTGGTGCTGATGGTGTTGACATCTCTCTTCAGTTAGCAGTGTCTGGAGGAGACACAGGATCTACCTCCATTGCATAGAGAAGATATACAATGTTCAGATGACTACTTTGATGCCAGTTCAGGTCCTTTCTACTCAGCATCCCTCTACCCTGTGGTCACTGGTCACCCACAAGGTGATGCTCTGTTAGGAGAACCACATGGCCTTCTCATTGTCATCAGGGTGCCATGAGTGGACATGATTAAGGTCCTTTAGCACATGAGGACACAATTTGACCAACCTGGACTTTTAGCACAACTCTTTGTGCCTGACTCTCAAATGCCTCTTGCTGCCACTTGTCCACACCATCATGGGGCAGAGTGAGGTTTAATTTGTATGCATTAAACTTTCCTGCCCTTCTTTGGAGGAGATATACTTGGTGTATGCTTCTCTTCACACTCCCCGGTTAGATATGCTTTGCCAGGTATCCAATCCCAATGGCACATTTCAGTGATGACACACAGGACTGGGTGGTTAGGAAACAAATACTCGCTAATTTTTAATGACATATAATCAGTCTGGGGGCCTAAAGAGAATATATGGCATTTTTGAGGAGTAACTGGTAGTCTTTTCCATAGGAATAACAGATAATATTTTAATTACTTAAAACAAGTTATAAAATTAATAAAGCAGGACATTACAGAATGAAATAATCCTTTCTATCCTAACCAAGCATTTTTGTATATTTTTATGTCATTTTTGCATATGAATACATATTTTACATGGTTTATGTTATATAACCTGCTTTTTCATTGATGAATATATATGTATAGTTCTGAAAATTATTTTTAGTAAATGGGTAGTGTCCCATTGATTTTCTATACTAACCTATTCTCCACTGGTAGATATTTAGATGACCTTTTAATTTTTCTATAAAAGATGAATTTAGAAACATCTTAGTGCAAAAAATGACTTCTTTGTCATTTTCTTTTATCAGAAAGTTAATGGTTCAGTTAAATAATATAGTAATTTACATAACTCACATGCCTGATAGGCATTCTAACAAAATTGATTCTTAATAAGCTTTAAAATAGTTATTGAAAAATAATGAATGGAAGGGGAACTAAGAAAATAAAGCAGAGGTCGGGCACAGTGGCTCATGCCTATAATCCCAGTATTTTGGGAGGCTGAGGTGGGTGGATCATTTGAGGTCAGAAGTTCAAGACCAGCCTGGTCAACATGGTGAAACC